TGACCCTGGTCTCACCTCCCCTGCCTGAGGCTGAGTCCATTTTCTAACCAAAAGGAGAAGTTCAACGCGGTTCCAAATGCATTGCCACCACAATGCCCCCGTATCCTGCGATAGCGCCGAGAGCACTTTAGCCTCTCAGAAATCGTGAACGCCTCGGATACTATAGTAATATCGCCTTGTCACTAATTCTAGAACACCTATTACTCACAAATGCCCAGTGGTCATTAATCAACAACCAAGACACAAACCTCGTCGACATAGACGAGCACGGTCATCGTCTGTTTCAGCTCGTCTATGCCCAGAATATGGACCAGCTCCATCTCGTAGTGCACGTCCAGCAAGCCATCTGGCGGTGCATTGACGTTGTGCCTCGACAGGAAGATGCTCAGTGAGCTTCTTCGACGACCCTGAGAGAAATCGCGCTGGAAGTCGGTTCGTAAAAGTCTATTTTTCGAGGGAAAGGACGCTTCAGTGAAAAAAGATCAGCAGCTACAGCTACCAATTTCGGGCTGCAGGTTGTTGTTTTATTGTAACAGATTTTGTCTACACAACTCTTCTGAACGACGTCCCTAAACACGACAGCAAGGTACCACATGAAAGCAAGCCAGTGCTGACTTTTTTGAACTAATTCGTAGCCACAGACTACCTATTCATGCTTAATTGCCGCTTTGCAATTCTGCTAAAAAGGCCAGCTTAACTGCTTAGGCCGTCCTCTAACCAAATGGCTCGCTTTTGACGGTGAGCTCATTCACTGAACTCGAGCTACACCATGAAAGTGTCAATAGGCCAAGGCCTGAAGGCAGTTCTGCTCACAGAGCGACTGCAGCCTTCATCAGAAGGTAGTAACGTCGCCTGCTACCTGGACCCTAATGACGGCGATTGTTCTTCTATGGTTTTTGGGACAAGCGACAGCGCATCGCGGTGTAATGCAATTCATGCAATCGTGTAATTGCTCTTCCTTCGCTGACACACTGCCCAGATTTTCGAGAATTAGACAGAATAGCGCAGAATTTTTTGGGTTGTGAATGACGCTGGATTTCACAGGAGGATTAATGGCATAAAATTGATGTGGTTCTTGCACGCACGAATGCGACTGTATTGGTGCGAAATGGGCCGGCAGTAAAGAAAAAAGGAAAAAATCCGTCGAAAACGCTTAGGTTAAGGGCTCACTCACCTTCCTAATCGGCTGTGCTAAGGGAATGAGAGACTAAGCGCGGAGAGGAGAGTATGAGGCGAGAGAGCGCAACAGATGAGAGGGCGCCAGACAACAGCCTGATAAAGAAAAAAAATTGCAGCTGCTGCAGCTTACTTTGCAAGGCCCTAGCGCTCTTGTCGGTGATTTCCGTGCACGGGAATGCCACATTGTGATTTCCTCTAGGGGTCTATCCTATAGATCGGAGGGTCGCTCGCACGACTTCTGCCTGGGTTCTGCCTTTAAGATCGAACGGACTTCAACACTCATATCCTACAAGTTCTCCATATATTCGAGGACGCCAACCAGTGTTTAGTAAGAAGAAGCTCATAAAGATCAAGGATAAAGCATTTGCCGTTGATCAACCCCTTTCGGGGATGCGGTACGCATTCTAC